ATTAAAGACCGAGTCTAAAAAGAGAATTGAACCGTCTTATCCAATCTTAATGTTACATCTTCCCGGAAGTGAAATCTTTCAATCTTTATTCCGTTGTAGTTATTCGGGCAACGACCATTCTGCCAGCTCGCCGGGGATGCATTTCGTAAATTTGCAAAATCTCCTCGGATCGGGGGCGCGCAACAGAGGCTTTAGAGGCGCGTTTATCATCGGGAGTGGCCGTTTAAAACAATTCAAACACACACGGCTCGGACCAGATCAGTATGCATTAGCCCCAGATTGAATTAATCATCGAATCGCAATGCGGCTGTGTTGCTGCGTTGTTTAGCGCATTCCAGATTCAACGGTGAACTTGTAATTATTATACTCTGGAACTTTGCGCGTGTCCCGCGGTTGAATAATACGCCGGAAACCTGGACTCCGTACGCCGTAGGGCTTTGAATATCTGGGACAAAGTTACTCGCTGGAAACACGCATATACCCGGCTGAAGATACATCATTGATTAGCGGACCGTGCGAATTCATCGTTCGTGAATTTCGTCGCCATATGTACGTATACCTGCGCCTTGCACCGTACGACGTTCGACTCTAGCTGTAGGTGGTGGTTGGTCCTAATTCGAGTTGTGTCGCTACACTGCGGGAAACAGCGGTGAAAATTCATGACTCTGCAGTATTAACACACGATTGCCGCATTCCTCTCAATACGCGTCGCGAATTTTCTTTTGAATTTCAATGATCGCTTTGTTGCCATTACGATAAATGAAAAATACAAGCACATACAACAGAGTGTTCTATCGTTATTTCGCCAAGTCGACTAATCGAAACATGTTTTTACAAATACTTTTTTTGGTACAAAGGGGCGGAAAAATTTCGAGATTGAATTAATTTTTTTTTTAAATAGAAACATATTTGAAGATCGGATAGATATAGAACACAGGCGAGATATATGAATAGAATTTGCGTCTTATGAAACTTGTCCCATAATTTGAAATACCGACATACTAAGAAATCAGAACACTTTTTGGTTTTCTAGAACACTTTTTTTGCTTAAACAACGGTGAATTGGGGAATTACATCAAGTAAAACGGTCGAACGATCAAGTAGTGAATGATTTTAGATAGAGACATGATTTTTGAAATCCATTACAGTGTTGTCACAAATTTTCAATACGGAAATGTGAAGTTAAACTAAACTGAAATCATTCTGCTACATATCACAAAGAACTCTATCCACGTTTTATGGAATTTTTTTTTCATATAGTAAATTAAAATTCTAAAGTTATTAATAAAATATTAAAGAATCTATCAACTGAAATAAATTTTATCGAAAGTTTGATATAGTATAAGAGAAATTAAAAATAAGGCGAACAACTCTTTCATTTACAGATATAATCGATGATTGAGTAGAAGAAATAATTAATCCTAGAATTTCTAAAATCTTGTACGAAGAATGTACAAATTCAGAAGAAATTAGTTATCTGTAAAAACTACATATTATTTATTTTTCATTAATCTAATCAAACATATATGAATTGTACATCAAATGTTACCCAGAATTAATTACCCTATGTATTCTATACTATTTTTGCCAAGGAATAACCCTGCACAAAAAGAAACCAAAAGCTAGAATAAATATGTCAAATGAAGACAAATATATAAAAGTGAAATGATAATCAATTTCAAATTTTGTTAAAAAGAGACAAGATACCGGTAATCGTAAGAGTAAAATCGATAAATGAAGAAAAATTGGCGCGAAAAGTTTCAAATTACTACACGACTTCGTTATTGTAATGGCCAATGGATTTTTAAACACACGCGTCTTAATTAAATGATTTTATTAATGAGATATAAATGGAAGAGTATCAACGAAGTGACGTCATTATAGGGATGCCACCGATAGGTTAGAAAAAGTTACGAATGCGATATAATGCGCGTTTTTGTCACGAAATTTGACTATGATTCTTCGAGATATATTCAGCAATTGAGACAGTAATAGGGGATTGTATGAGGCGATTCTCGAACATAATCGATATTTCTCGAGAAATATTATCCAGTGCTCGATCGATTTTTAAGCGAGAAGAATGACGGAAAGCAACACATTTCGTCTGTAAAGGAAAAAATATTATCCAGAAGAATCATCCAGAAAGAATTATTCAGAAGTTTTTCTCAGGAAAAAATTTAAATCAATAGTTAAATTTGTGTCTGTATTGTGAATTTTTAAGATACAACGTGCATTTCTGGATTCAACTGAAGGTATTTAACCTAAAACAATTATTATACGTAATTTTGAACAATTGAAGAAATAATGGCATATAAACGTTTAAACAGAACATATCATGCTAAAAGTTGTTAAAAATTTTTATATCAAAATATAATTTCAATTCTAACCAATCCAAATATCGTGACCTTGTAATATGACTAACTTATTATCATATATATATATATATATATATATATATATATATATATATATATAT